AGCTGTGTGAAACACAACCATTATAACAATTGCAGAAAACTCTTGAAATTGAAACACCATCATTACTGCTCTTACGTCATAGTCTCGAGGTTAATTAAATCTGAGCTATAGTACACAGTCTATTTGAAACTTAAAAAGCATTGTTACCGCTTGATGTTAGCCAGTTGTGTGAAACGTGAAACGTCGTCAAGCTTAGGATCCACTGCAGCCCTTGTTGGTTGTCTTGTCAAGCAACGCATTTCTGTCTTCCCCCGAAAAGATGAAAGCGTTGCGTGACAAAACACCAAACAACAGCTAGTGAGTTTTATTCTCCAGGAATAAAATGCTTTGCACACTTCAGAAATATCTCTTAGTTTTCAGGTGTATAATTTTTTCCCATTTTATTTTGTCAATACTGGGTCACGACCTGTCTGCTAGCGTGCACTGAAAAATGATCTTCCCATAATGTTTAGTGTCTGATTACTATGAAGGGGAATTTTTTTTTCAAATTTGTGTTCAAATGATGCTTTCCAAAACATCACCTAGTTTTGCTAATACAAAAAATTAGAAAAAACCCTCTGATCACCTCAGATGCAAACAGAAAGGATTCTTTTCCTGTACAACACACAGGGAACTTTGATCAATGATCCTGATGAAAAGAAACTAACTAAGCTGATACGGCATTTCAAGCATTAAGCATTATGATTTAAGATGTTGACCGATAAATCACGAGATGCTTAGTAAACGGATTGTTGTCGAATAGCGTCATATTCCTTCTTCTAAACGGTCCCCTTCATTGTTTAGATGATTGTGAACTAAGAAATGTGTCTCTTCTAATTCTCAAGAGGCCTTCACGACCATAAGATATGCCACAAATTACAAAGATTACCCCCGTAAAATATTCGAAGTACAATTATGCAGTCACTACTCAGGGACTCGGGGTTGGCATGAAATAAAAAAATTTTGTCACGAAAATGGGACGCGAATCAAACATCACAATAAGGATAGAAGAATCTTTGATAGGTGAACTTTGTGCGCTTAAGTATCACTTCTATGACTTCTTCTTAAAGTGGAAAACTTGGGTTATGCTGCACTTGTAGAAAAACAATCGTACGCCGCCGTTCGCAAACCTCATAATCCAGGATCTGCTCAACACTATAGTTTTGACCGCTCAGTTTGCGATCAAAACACCTTTCTGAATAGTAGGCTGGCTGGTTGCCGCCTCCATTTCGCATTTTATTCGCGCTGGAAGATTTTCTATCTAATGAAGATGTTAGAAAACCTTGTTTCTTTCAGTCTTAGGTCAGTGTTTAGAATTGGCATATACTGATACTTCTGCGTTAACGTCAGTCAATTCAGAATGAGCGCACAATTCCTTAAACAGAATTTAGTAGATAAAGTGTTCTGTTCTCTCTGTCTAAAGGATGAGTACTCACCATTTGATATCTGACACTTCAGCCGTGATGTTATAGCATCATAAATTTATAACTGAGCTGAAGAAGCAGAACTAAGGATGAATAGAGAGAGAAAGACATGTGATGCTCGAAAAGCTGGATAAACACATTTTTGTCGGGTATCTTAATTATCTTTAAACGTTTGATTTTTCCTTTTTCCCCATGTAGTTGTGAACTAAGAAATATATCTCCTCTGATTCTCAAGTGACCTTCTCGAGCTTTACCTACATTCCAAGTAACTAAAGACAAATTTTCTCCGAAAAGTATGCGACGTGAAGCTATTTAGTTGCATCTACATATGTTTGTGGGTTACGGTAAATTCAAACCCGTTCTTTTGATCAGAAATAAAATAGTTAAAGTGTTCTGGTTACTCTGTCTGAAGGATATGTACTCACCATTTTATAGATAACGGTCTAGCCGAGATAGCATCACAATTTGAAAACTGAAGACCCGGTGAACACGATTCAGTAGTTAGGGACGCCTTCGTTTCTGATATCTGCAATTCGTGCGAGGCTAATGTTAATATCCCATCGTTCTTTTAGTGTTAAAAAAAAAAAAACAGAGACGCAATACGCACATGACAAGTCATCTTAAATTTGTATAAAAAACGATAAGAAAGAGACCTTTGCCACATTGTTTTAATTTACTTTAGTGATCTAAGTCATCGCTAAGGACCAAATTTAGCTAAAAATTTATTCTGTTCTGCAAGAAGTTTGTCCAATACAAGGCTATCTTAGAGTATCCTAGAGGTATGAAATTTGTCTATTTGGGTGTTGTGAGATTTGATATCTTTGACAAGCAGCACAATCCTTAAAAAGAAGCTTCCTTTTAATTCCTACTTGTAACAGATACAAGTGTGTCAACTTATTCCTAAAAATAAAACAAAGGAAGGAAGATTGTGCTTGCAAATTGATTTTCTTCTGTTGTCTTTCAGGTACCAGGGCAACGAATGTGAAACAGAGAATCAGGGAAAAGATGAAAGAGAAGAAAGAAGGAAGTTTTATTGTAAAATTTCATTGTGAATCATATTTTTAAGTTAGAGAAAGGGTTCAAGCCATTCCTTAAAATATCATCTTTCTAATTATTTACTGGTATGTGTCTGTTCATCTTTGCAGCTGACAACAAAACCTTTGTTCCGGTTTATGTATAATGACCAACATCATCCCTTATTTTTTTACCAGATGTTTCCAATCTCCTCCACTTAATCCTCTCACTTGCAAACCTCATTAGTATTTCTTCTTACTCTCTGCCATACAATTCTCATTACTTAGTTTGGAGAACTTGGAATTGGATCATGTAATAGTCTATCAATTAACATTTTGCTTTATTCTCATCACTTGTCTGTCTGCTTGATATTGTATTGATATCGTGGGGAAAAATACTGTCTTAGTCACTGGAAATGGCAAAAATATCATGAACAATATTGCAAGCAAAACAAGTTGAATTTTGAGGTGAGCAAGTAATTACATACTAAGTAAAAATTGCTACTTAAATAACAAATGCATTACTGTTTGATTTTAACAATTCAAGTTAACCTCCATGCACCCAATATGATTTAATTAAAATGCTGGTCACTAAGGAATGCTTGTTCATTTAATTTTCTGGTGACATGAAAAACTCTGGCCCTTCAAGTCTGATGAAATAATCTCAAAGCTGATCCTAGGAAGGTTTTTTTTTTAGCTCACAAAATGAATAAATGTGTAATAATTCAAATATTTATTCCCTTTATTGTTACATTTTGAGACCTAAAGTCCAAGATTGTATAAATATCTTTCGTAATAAAGTTTCATAACAGATGACATTCATGAGTTTACGTGCAACACAGGGAAAGATTGAATATCACCATCCAGATTCCCATACAGGTTTAGACATGGCTCTTGTTGCGGCGAATGCGGCGCTCGCTGTATAGAAATCAATACACAGTGCACAGGTTTGCGACTCGTTTCGTTCTTGTTCGTTTTAGGGCCGGGTCGCACTAGAGCGAATTTTAGCCAATTTTTTCTGCATAAGTAATAAATCTGTCACCAAGTAGCGTAAAATAAGTGCGACCCCCAGTTTCAAAAACTCGCCAATTTTTTGCGGATTGCCAAATTTTCGCCAATCTTCAAAGAAGCCGAAGTGCTGCCTCGGAGGCTTCCAAATTTTGGCAACGCAAACAATTTTGTTTGTTTAACCATTGAGCTGTCATTATTCTTCAAAATACTTGGATCAAGTTACGGCGGGAAAAATTACTTTGTTCGGTTAGTGCAGGTTAACTCGTACGATATTGAGACAAAACTATTTTTTTCCCGGTCCATCAAACCATTCTTTTTATGGTTTTTACAATGGAAACGCGGAAAAAGAGCGGCAATTTTTTGAAAATGCCTATGACTCTTACCCTGGATTCAGCTACCGGCACCATTCAGTAGCGACGAGACGGCGGCAAGACAATCTCTGTCCCTTGCAAACATGGAAGCAAGTCAGTCTCCTACGCTCGCTTCAATTCTAAGTGTGGAAAGCAGTAACAGCGGTGGAAACAACAACACAAATAAAAGCAAAAGAAAGTAAAGTACTAGACGTGGTCAAAAGCAGAGCAAAAACTGCTGGTCCAATTATGGGCCGAAAACCACGAATTGTTAGAAAGCAGAAAGGCCCGAACCGCAGGGAGGAAAATCTCGGAAGAGTTGAACTCTCGTCTAAAGTCCAACAAGACCGTGGAGAAGGGTATGATGAAAATTAAATACCTAATTGAGAAATATAAAGAGGCGAAGGAGTGGAGCCGGAAACAGACTGGGGGCACAAGAAGGCAAAGCATATTTTACAACGAGATCGACACTATCTTGGGATGTCGAGATATCGTTACATTACGAAACGTGTCTGAAGCAGGGACCAGTGGAAGTTCAAGTCCACTGAACATATCACACAGCAGCAGTGCTGATTCCCCAGCTGGTTCAGATGATTTAGATGCCCAGCCCGACAAGAATGAGCAAAGTCAAAGAGAACCAAAGAAGAAAGATGCGCGCGACGCGAGAACCGATAGGAAGAAACAGTCGAGGAAAAGGAATCGAGCAGCCGTCAAAGAAGGCGACGAGGAGGAAAGAAGAGAATTACGTGAAAGTATGGACGCCTTCAAAAAATGCGGAGAAAATTTAAGCAACTTTATGGAAACCTCAGAAACCCAAAAACAACAGATGGCTATGATGGGTCAGTTTATCGGGGCTAGGACCCAGTTTATGAGTAAGAATACTGAATCGTCTCCTTCCAAATGAAGGGTTAAATGCATTTGACATAGCCCAATTTTTTTAGCCAGAAATCGACTTTTTTTGAAATGTTCTTGTTCGATAACAATGTCAATTATTTTAAGCAATTCAAAATAAATTTGCGATGTATGTGCAATATTGCGTGACCTAGTGCATGTAACGCAATTTCCAAGTTATGTTTATGTTGTAGCACAAATATGATAAAAGTTCAGGAAAGGGAATCATGAATACGATTTAACATTTAAAATCAAGAGACGTTAATGCTAAATGAAAAACTGAAGCAATATAAACATGGTAAACCGAAAGATATAATGTACACAAAATAAAGTTAGAGAATTTCCTTAAAGATGTGTCTTGTCTCCTCTCCATCCCTAACAACATCTTCACTGTCATCATCACGGCAGTGGTGATCTGGATTTCCGTCGTCATCCCAATGGTCCCCCATTTTTATACAGAAATTGTGTAGGACAGCACATGCGACAGCGATCGGGACAGAGAATTTAATGTCACTATCAAGGCGCTTTTGTAAAATTCTCCAGCGTGACTTAAGGCATCCAAAAACGCACTGTAGTTTGACTCTTGCACTTGACAGCTCACGGTTAAATTTTATTTCACTTCTGTCTCTTGTAGCCTCTGGTAATGGCTTTTGAAGCCATGGAGATATCGGGTAAGCACTGTCACCTACCAAATACGGGCCAATCTCGTGGTGGTTAACATTGACGAGGGGGCCAGTGAGAATGTCTCCTTCCTGAGCTTTTTGATTTCAACTACTGTTCCTTAATATGCGAGCGTCCTGCATACTTCCTGGATATCCAGCGGAAAAATCTAAAAAGAGCAATATCCCGTCAGCGACTGCCTCAATGTTAAAGTCGTGATGTTGATAGCGACTAAAGTAATCTACTACACTCTCGCGTGGTGCATTTATCGGTATATGGGTGCCATCGATCGCTTCAACAATGTTTGGCAGTCGAGATAAGTCTTCAAATGTTCCTATAGAAGCTGTGGTTTCTGCCACTGTTTGTAGGAAATGTATATATTCATCTTTCAGTTCAAACAAAGCTGCCACAAGATCTTGGACGGCCTCGATTACAGTGGATTTGCCAACATTAAATACAGGTCCAATGCTGACATATGAATTGTCCTGTGCAAGCCTATATATTCTCAGGGCTAAAACCTTTTTCAGTGGAATACAGTCCCTCAATCGCGTATTCTCTCTGGTTCACCACGGCGTCAGGATGCCAAACAGGGCTTGAAAGGTCCCTCTCTTCATTCTCAGCTGTAAAGATCTTTATTCATTCGTTTTTAAAAACATCCCCACAGACAAAAGTGCGAGTTTACAATGAGAATAATATTTTATGCTACTATTCAATACTACTAAACAGTTAAAATTAAAAAGGCATCTATTAATAAAGCATCGCTTGAACCTCTCGGTTCTAACACGTGGCAAAATGAAGTCATGGCCCCTGCTTCTTAAAAAACGTGATATGTGTGGAGGAAGAAGGCCATAAAGAGGATGAGCTGCATCGGTTATGATGTTGTTCCATAACCGCCTATCTCTTGAAACGATATAGCTGGTCATTGGGATGTACTTGGAGGTATACCTATATCGCAAAGCACGCCTATAAAACTTATCAATCTGTGCAATGAATTTACCCTGGTGGGCACAGGCCCATACTTCTAATGCATATAAAAACAATGACATCATGAGGCTATCAAATAGTACAGTCAAATCCAGTAAGGAGTAGCCAAAGTACCTGCAGACCCTCAAAATGTAAAGTCTAGAATTGGCCTTGCCAAGCATATGCTCAAATTGAGTATCCCAATTACATGGGTCTTCATGAAATGTTACTGCTTATAATTTGAGCTCCTTCTTCCTAACCACCCCGTCAATATCACCTGGAGGAGTTTTCCTGGTCTTCTCCTTTACTACCGTTTCAAAGGTCTTCTTGAAATTTAACGTCATCTTGTTGTCGTCTGCCCAGAGTTTGATGCTACAAACTTCTTTATGTGATGGGTCACTCTGTCCTGGGCTTGACTTAGTAGGTACACTAACTGTGACGTCATCAGTATATTTAATCAGTGGTGATCTTGGACTAACGGGCTTGTTGTCATTCACCATGATGGAAAATAGAATGGGACCAAGAACAGTCCCTTACGGGACACCTTTGTTGATACTGAGGAACTTTGTTACAACACCATCCACCACGACTCTTTGTTGGCGGTCACACAGTAAGCTAATTACCCAGTTGACGATATAAGGGTTAATGTCATAAGACCTTAGTTTGTCAAACAGGACTCGATGGGAGACAGAATCAAAAGCTTTACTAAAGTCAAATGATAAGACCCGAACAAAGTCTGCATCCCCGTCTAGCCAATTCAGCCAATGATGTTGACATTTGATTAGAGCCATAGATGTACTGCGGCCTTTCATAGAAACAAACTGGTCTGAGCCTACCTCCTTCTTAAGCACCGGAGACAGTTCTTGTTTGCAAACAAGCCGTTCAAAAATCCTCATTATGATGTTAGTTAATGAGATTGGTCGCAGCTGATTGCACTCCGTTAGAGGGGATTCTTTAGGAATAGGTGAAACATTTGCCAGTTTCCACAGTGTTGAAACAATTTGATGAATTAATGAACTGTTGAAAATTGCCGTCACCACAGGTGCAAGATGATGGGAAAAGTCACGCCAAAACCAAAATGGAAACTAATCCGGTCCAGATGCAGTTCTCTTTTGATGTATTAACAGTTTTCTAACAGCATTTTCATCTACAATTGGAATGCGAGTTCCAACAGGTATTTCAAGAGTCTCAGGAGCTTCATAGGTGCAATCAGTATTAATGGCTGAAAATGTGCATTGATAACATCTGGAGACAATACTGAGCTAACAAATGTTCCCTGTGATTTTCTCCCTGTAATTCGGTTAGCAGTTTCCCACAAACCTATGGAGCCTGGCGTTGAAAGTAATCTTCTGGAATGTTTCTATCGTCGAAATGTATTTCAAATCATGACTCTGCCGGGCGCGGTAAAGTCCACGACCAAGGACGGTTTCGTAAAATGAAGTCTATTCAAGCGAACCCTACGTCTTCTAATAGCAGACACTAACCGTTGAAAAGCCTGCTTATAGTGCATATAAAGATGAAATAAACAATTTTTAAAAATCGAGTTTCCAGATGGGGTTTGAACCCACGACCCTCCGTGGAGGGTCACGGAGGGTCGTGGGTTCAAACCCCATCTGGAAACTCGATTTTTAAAAATTGTTTATTTCATCTTTATATGCACTATAAGCAGGCTTTTCAACGGTTAGTGTCTGCTATTAGAAGACGTAGGGTTCGCTTGAATAGACTTCATTTTACGAAACCGTCCTTGGTCGTGGACTTTACCGCGCCCGGCAGAGTCATGATTTGAAATACATTTCGACGATAGAAACATTCCAGAAGATTACTTTCAACGCCAGGCTCCATAGGTTTGTGGGAAACTGCTAACCGAATTACAGGGAGAAAATCACAGGGAACATTTGTTAGCTCAGTATTGTCTCCAGATGTTATCAATGCACATTTTCAGCCATTAATACTGATTGCACCTATGAAGCTCCTGAGACTCTTGAAATACCTGTTGGAACTCGCATTCCAATTGTAGATGAAAATGCTGTTAGAAAACTGTTAATACATCAAAAGAGAACTGCATCTGGACAGGATGAGTTTCCATTTTGGTTTTGGCGTGACTTTTCCATCATCTTGCGCCTGTGGTTATGGCAATTTTCAACAGTTCATTAATTCATCAAGTTGTTCCAACACTGTGGAAACTGGCAAATGTATCACCTATTCCTAAAGAATCCCCTCTAACGGAGTGCAATCAGCTGCGACCAATCTCATTAACTAACCTCATAATGAGGATTTTTGAATGGCTTGTTTGCAAACAAGAACTGTCTCCTGTGCTTAAGAATAAGGTCGGCTCAGATCAGTTTGCTTATATGAAAGGCCGCAGTACATCTATGGCTCTAATCAAGTGTCAACATCATTGGCTGAATTGGCTGGATGGGGATGTAGATTTTGTTCGGGTCTTGTCATTTGACGTTAGTAAAGCTTTTAATNTGCATGTGATGCTTTAATGCATGTGATGCTTTAATGCATGTGATGCTTTAATGTGACAGCGTGATGCTGTTAGTGAGCTTCTATGCGCTAGCTGATGTTTGGCTGTGTAGCCACGTGATGCGGTTCCAGTCAATACCCACTAATTGACCCTTGCTCACCATAGAGTCTCCTATAGTGCATAAACATTACTTAAAACGCTGCGTTGTTTTGTTGACTGAAACACAAAATTCAACAAAAGCCCGAAAACCGCGAAAACAATCATCTGTATGTGACGATTCATTTTTGAAAAATCAGTGCGCGAGATGTTTTCTTGACTGTAGATATCGTGACATGACATATATGTCAATCAGCAAAGTTTTGCCTCAAACATGTTGGTCCAATGCGACCAACGCCAAAATTTGGCCCTTGCGAAATTTTTGCCATTTTTTTTCCTCACCAATAATTGGAAGTAAACAAAATTGGCTCTAGTGCGACCCGGCCCTTACTCGAACCATACGGATATTTCAAAACGCAACCAAAACCTGTATAACGGTGAAAACTATGATAAAAGGCAAACGAGAGCGGTAGGAAGAAAGAAACCCAGGGTAACGAGCAAAGACTACAACTAAAACATGATAAAAAAAAGAAGGCAAACACTCACAATCTGTGCTCCTGAAAGCGAACGACCATGTGCTACAAGTAACGTGATACATTTATGAACTTAAGCCAGTCGTGTAAGTGTCACGAAAGGTCAATGGACAAAAAAAAACCAGTGATCTTAAATATTAAATGGCAATCAAAACAGCTCTTCTCTTTGCAGATCGACGTGAACCACTGGAAATCCTTGAGCTTGCTGGACTTACGGAGTCACCAATCATTAAACTGGATTCACTGGAAGATTAAATGCATTACTGTAGTTGTAATTTGTCTAGAATTTTGAATCTCTTTCTCTGTAAGTCTTTTATTATGTACGTATTAAACACTGCCCACCTCGACTAGCCTTTCCTAACTGCGGGCAGTGCATATTTTCTGTAATATTGTAGTAATAATAATAATAAACTAATAATAATACTACACCAATAATAATAGATGGGAAGTACTTCCTGTTGTACTTTTTGCACTCAGCTTGGTCGGCTTCTTGAGGCTGTTTTTGAGTATTGTTTCTGTTTAATATGTTCTTTGAATAATGAGTCCCGTGATAATGTCTGCGTTGGTTTGACAGTCTGAAGCCTTTCAGGTAATTTCTGGATAAACACATTCAAAACAGGGTCATTATGAAAATCAGAAGTGATCAACAGGTAACTTCTCCCTATAATATCCTTACATAGTCGACCAAACAGGTCAAGAGAATACAATATTTATCAGGTTTAAGTTGTTATCTTGATATACCACCAAATTCTTGTCACTTAAATTTACAAGAAAATGTGTAGCCTCTAGAGGGGAGAACTAACAATCAGTTACTTTGGAAATAGAGGACTAACATAGACTAAAGTAGTTTTTGCTACACAGATTACTTACGTATGATGGACGATCCTCGCAGTACGTAGATAGCGCTATTCTATCTCACAGATTACTTAATAATATTTCAAATCATCATTGATAGGTTATTAAGTTAAATAAAGTCCACTGTGGTTAAATTTCACCGGCTTTGTGACAAGTAAAAATGTTATGGATCATAGGCACACCTCTGAGAAAAATGTTGAAATTCTTAACTGATATAAGACCAGAAGAGATAAAAAAAAAAGATATTCACATCCTTTGATGCAACATATTCCTGTGAGGCCTTCATATTAAATATTAACTCCCATCAAGGAGCACAAACCTCTCAAAATCTGAATTCAAAGATTTTAGATTTGGAAGCACCTTCCCTACTCTAAAAATTGTCAGTAGACTGCTATATTCCAGCCTCTCCCCTTAAATTAAAAATCATGTCAACCTTGAACTAGTGTCTTAAGTGCTTATTCCAACAGAGTTCAAACATTTGATTGGGGGGGGGGGGACCCACTAAACAATAATTAATATTCATTGATAATTTCTTATGTAGGTGGGGTGCTTATTTTTTATGTTTTGGCCAATAAGAGTAATGGTGATTCAAAGGGGGCACTAATATAAAAGGGTTATTATGATGGTGATCCACAATCTAAAGAAAAATGTTTCAATATTTGACTATCATTCAATCTTTATTCAAATTTCTCCTTTAACAGAAAAAAAAGATCAAAATTTCTTTTATCCTGAAGATTTTATAAACTTATACTGGGTGACTGGGATATCTCCTCAATATCTTTGAGAATCTTGATTATTCAATGGTATAGAGGGTTTACCTTGAAACTTAGCAATGAGAATTTACCCTTTACCCCTTCACATCAGTATGAATATTCTTCATACTGTTCTTTAGACATAATGTATTTAACAAGCAAGATTTTCTTGAGTTTGTGATCATTTCCTTTATTCTTGTTACCTTAATGCATGATGCAGGGGTGATATTGTAAAGAGAAATTAGTCAAAGCATTAATATCCTCTCTGGTCACCATATTTACAAAAGAACATTGATACTCTTGAACGAGTACAACATTGGGCCTCGAAATATGCTCTCTGTAGTATCGCAGGCTGTACTCAGGCCACGTTATACACGCAAGGAACTCTGGGACAGTTATAGACGCGGTTACCGAGAACATGTCGTACGTATTCGATACGTTGTGGTACTATGCTTTTATATCTTTCTGTTCTATTAAATTGGCGACGAGAAAAGGGATACAATGCCAGACGAAGGCGGACAAGAAGAAAACAACACAAACAGAGGTAAAGCAGAAGTCTTGGCAAGTGTTAAGGCGAGTGTGGGCACCATAGACCTGAAAGGAGAACCGGGTCAACGCGAGAAAGCATGGAAGCTGTGGCGAGATCGGTTCGAGAGGGTGATACGATGGATGGCAGTAAGTGGCACAGATAAACTCGACCTGTTCCTGTTAGTGGGTGGAAAAGAACTTCAGAAATTAATCGAAACGCTACTGGAGCAGCCCACGAATTACGAGTCGCATATTCAAGAGTTTAA